CAGGGCGGCGGGAATCGGCATCAAAACAGCTTGAACAGCAGGGCGGGAATTTCCGCCCCTCTTGCGAAATCGCCCAAAGTGTGGCGGATCCGAAGCTCGAAGTCAGGGTCCCCCTCCTCCCTCGTCATCGTCCTCGTCGTCGTCGTCGTCGTCGTCGTCGTCGTCGTCGTCGTCGTCCTCCTCGTCGTTCTCGTCCTCGTCCTCGTCCGCGTCGTCGTCGTCGCTGAGGGCACCCGCGGCGCTAGCCGGGACCGCCCCCCGCGCCCAGGGGCACCCGCCGTCTCCGTCGTCCACGCTGCCCGCGACGCCCGGGACCGTGGGGCTTGGGGCGGGGCCTTCCCGCCGGGTTGCGTCGCTCGGAGCTTCTGTTCCTACTCCTCCAGTTGCTCCTCCTCCTCCTTCTCCTCCTCCTCTTCCTCCTCCTCCTCCTCTTCCTCATCCTCCTCCTACTCTTCCTCCTGCCCCACGTCCTCGTCCACGTCCTCGCCCTCCTCCTCGTCCTCCTCCTCCTCCTCGTCCTCCTCCTCCTCCTCCTCCTCCTCCCCGAACGTTGCCCTCGGCGAGCCGATCCTGGAGGAGGGGCAGCGATAGGGGCAGACTGTCTCAGGGTTGTGAGGGTTTGAGTTTTTGAAGGTGAGGGTTGAGGTTTGCGGTGGACGTTTTCGGCGCCCCCCTCCCATCCTTCTCCCCCTCCTCCTCCTCCTCCTCCTCCCCTCCTCCTCCTCCTCCTTCTGCTTCCTCTTCACACTCTTCTCCTCCTCCTCCTCCTCCTCCTCCTCCTACTACTACTACTACTACTACTACTACTACTACTACTACTACTACTACTACTACTACTACTACTACTACTACTACTTCCCAGGTTCCCAGAGAGGGGATCTCAAGATCGAATTTTACACCACCATTGGATCACCTCGTCGCTTTGCGGGAGCTCTCGTGAGTGGTTGGCTATGCCCATCCTTGTAGGCAATCTTCCATTCGTCGCGCATCTGGGCGTCAAGTCGTTCCACCTCGTCTTGTGGGAGGGCGGGGCACTGCTCAAATTTAGAGCTACACGGAACTCTACAGGGGTCGGCGCCAGGGGGATATTTAGTCAGGTGAACGATCGCCCTCCACCTCGAGCCAAATTCCGTGCTACAAACAGGACACACGGCATCGGAGCCCACATATCATCGCGTTGAGCACTTCAAGTCATGCTTGCGCATGCTGTGGGAGTAGTGCAAGGCTTGAGAGGTGGCGAACGCACGAAGGGGATATACACCCTCCTCGACACACAACTCGCATACGTGAGGACGCGAAGGGATCTGTCCGCCGAAGGTGCCCGCGGACATGTCGGTGCCAGAAGGGATCTGTCCGCCAGAGGTGTCCGCGGACAGATCGACATGGGCCGAATCGGCCACTGAATCAGAGTAAAACAGATTTTGGACGAGAGGGCCCCATAAGGAGCCGCACTCACGGATAAACTGTCCCCAGGCCTTCGGGTTTCCTCGGGGCTCGGGGAGAAAAAGTTAGAGTTCTGAATTACTTGAGCGTGCAGCCGCATCAGATCTGAGCACATCAATTCCGCCCAAGGGAACGGCTTGCCTTTGTACTGGGAGTGCAGCAGCGACGACAACTCAACTGGGCCACTATTCAATAATCGCCTCAGATACAGCAAACGGGAGCGTTGTAAAATACAGTCAACCGATCGCATCTGCATGAGAACCCTGATTTCAACATCGTGGTGCTCAACACGCTCATGCCGGACCTCTCCAACAATCCGACGCAACCCTTTCATCATTCCACAATTCAAATTCTTGGCATATTGCCTGCTCGGAAAGACAGTATGAGCATTAAAGAATAGCCTAGTGAAGAGAAGAGAAAACATCATATGCAACTTCGCCCTGTCCTGTATTACAGGCGATCTCAAGATCCGACTCGCAAGCGGGGAATACGCAGCCAGCGTCGACTTCTTTTTGTGATGGGCATCTGCGATACAACACCGCTCAAGGACAACATCGACACTAAGTGATTCTACTTATCCACAACCTGCAACCTCCGATCACTGCCTGGCACAGGGAACGACAAGCTACCTTCGAACAAGTGGGACCTAAAGACCTCACTGCTGCGCTGTCCCCGAAACTTGACCATCGCCTCGGTTTTACCTGTCGACTAATTTATCTCGAGGTTGAGTGAAGCAACTATCTCGACCAGAGCATTCAACATACGCGGAATGCTTGCATTCAACCTAGAATGTTGCATTCGTCATCGAACAACGCACAGTCTGTGACACTGCTCTTCTTCTCATATATTGCCTCACGATCTGCCCTAACTTCGGCAGCTGGGGTCTCAACTTGGAGTGACAATCCCTCCTCAAGCAAACGAGTCCGAAGAGCATGCAAGGCTATCACATAGACAGCATTACAGATCAGACATTCTACTTTACATCCCTGGCACCCCCCCAGCCTAGGACATACCACTTGCTCGAGTGACCGTATGCTGAACCACGACTGCGCGTGCAACGAACACAAGAGCTCACTCACGCATGGGTATACCTGCCGCTGCTCCTAAGAGGGGGGTCATTCTTTTCCAGCTGCGCTAAGATCTGCTCGGCTACATTCTTACCCAGGCCTAGCGAGTCGAGATACGACAGGCGCGACTCATGATCAGGAGCTACGGCAGACGGAAATCAAAACACCAATTCCCTCACCACCCGATCGAAGGCCTTCACGAGGTCCACGAACAAGATGCACACCGACCACCCCCTCTTCTCAGCATCTGCTATCACACTCTGCACGATGTGACTTGCATAATCTGTGCCACGACGGGGTACAGCTCCGAATTGTGTTGTGGGCATCTTCTCGTTGTACGCGGGGTCGATGGAACGTTTCATGCCTCCTCCTCCTCCTCCTCATCCCCCTCATCTCCCCCTCCTCCTCCTCCGGACCTCCAGGGCTCCGGCTTTCTCCGGCAATCTGCAGCCCGATGAGGCGGGATGCGTATGTGTGTGTATATATATATATATATATATATATATATGCGTGCTGCTAGAATGGCCTTTGCGTGATCGGCCCTCTCCTGGGGCACGATCCCTTTTCCAGGGGCGCGAATCTTTAGCGTTTTGCGTATTTGCTTGTAGATTGGCCCTCCCCTGGGGCACGAACCCTGGCGAGGCGTCACGAGCTTCACCGGGCGTCAGGGGAATAGAGGCTTCAGGTCGAATAGAGGCTTCACGAGCTTCAATGGGCGCCAGGGGAATAGAGGCTTCAGGCCGAATAGAGGCTTCACGAGCTTCAACGGGCGTCAAGGGAATAGAGGCTTCAGGCCGAATAGAGGCGTCACGAGCTTCACCAGGCGCCAGGGGAATAGAAGCTTCAGGCCGAATAGAGGTTTCACGAGCTTCACCGGGCGTCAGGGGAACAGATGCTTCAGGCCGAATAGAGGCTCCACGCGATACAATGGGCGTCAGGGGAATAGAAGCTTCAGGCCGAAAAGAGGCTTCACGAGCTTCAGTGGGCGTCAGGAGAATAGAGGCTTCAAGCCGAATAGAGGCTTCAGGGGAATAGAGGCTTCAGGCCGAAAGGAGGCTTCGCGAGCTTCACCGGGCTTTAGGGGAATACGGGCTTCAGGCCGAATAGAGGCTTCACGAGCTTCAACGGGCGTCAAGGGAACAGAGGTTTCAGGCCGAATAGAGGCTTCACGAACTTCAATGGGCGTCAGGAGAATAGAGGCCTCAGGCCGAATAGAGGCGTCACGAGCTTCAATGGGCGTCAGGGGATTTCTGGCTTCAGGCCGAATAGAGGCTTCACGAGCTTCAATGGGCGTCAGTGGAATACATGCTTCAGGCCGAATAGGCGCGGCTAGGGTTGCCACCCCACCAGTGCGTCGCAACTCGTAGGCCGAATAGAGGCTTCACGAGCTTCAAATGGGCGTCAACGGATTAGAGGCTTCAGGCCGAATAGAGGCGTCACGAGCTTCACCAAACGCCAGCGGAATAGAGGCGTCACCGCAGCTCATTTGGGGAATAGCGTCTTCAAATAGCGTCTTCGGCGCCGGCTCGAACGGGGACCCCCCCGGGCTAGGCCCCTGTGTATATCTATCTGTCTGGTGGTGTCGGTGACGATGGCGAGTGGTCGTGGTGGTGATGGCGGTGATAATGCCGGCGGTGTTGCAATGGCGAGGCGCTGGCAGTGGCGGTGGCGGTGGCGGGCAGGATCCTCTATCTCTCTATCGTTCTTTTGATCGATCGATCCATCGATCTATCTATATGTCTATATCTCGGTCTATCTATCCATCTATCTATTTATCGACCTCTCTATCGGGTCGGGCGTCGGGACAAACATCGGGACAGCCATCGGGGCAACCGTCGGGACAACCACCGGGACAACCATCGGGACAACCATCGGGACAGGCATCGGGACAACAGTCGGGACAACCATCAGGACAACCATCGCGACAACCACTATCCATCGGGACAACCATCATGACAACCATCGGGACAACCATCGGGACAACCATCAGGACAACCATCGGGACAACCATCAGGACAGCCATCAGGACAACCATCGGGACAACCATCGGGACAACCATCATGACAACCATCGGGACAACCATCGGGACAACCATCGGAACAACCATCGGGACAACCATCAGGACAGCCATCAGCACAACCATCGGGACAACCATCGGGACAACCGTCGGAACAACCATCAGGACAACCATCGGGACAACCATCGGGAAACCCATTGGGACAACCGTCGGGACAACCATCGGGACAGCCATCGGGACAACCATCGGGACAACCAGCGGGACAACCATCGGGACAACCATCGGGACAACCAGCGGGGCAACCATCGGGACAACCATCGGGACAACCATCGGGACAATCGTCGGGACAACCATCTGGACAGCCAGCGGGACAACCATCGGGACAACCATCGGGATAACCATCAGGACAACCATCGGGACAACCATCGGGACACCCATCGGGGCTACCCCCGGGACAACCATCAGGACAACCAGCGGGACAACCATCGGGACAACCATCGGGACAACCAGCGGGACAACCGTCGGAACAACCATCAGGACAACCATCGGGACAACCATCGTGACACCCATTGGGACAACCGTCGGGACAACCATCGGGACAGCCATCGGGACAACCATCGGGACAACCAGCGGGACAACCATCGGGACAACCATCGGGACAACCAGCGGGGCAACCATCGAGACAACAATCGGGACAACCATCGGGACAACCATCGGGACAACCAGCGGGACAACAAGTGGGACAACCATCTGGACAACCATCGGGACAACCATCGGGACAGCCACCGGGACAACCATCAGGACAATGATCGGGACAGCCATCGGGACAACCACCGGGACAACCATCGGGACAACCATCGGGACAACCATCGGGACAACCAGTGGG